ATGGGAATGCAATCTGAAATGGGAGAGCATGTGGGTGGAAATGCATGTGGGTTAAAGTGGAATGACAGCTAGGTTATGATGATGAATGCATGTGCAAAGTTGGTTGAATGATTATGAGTGCATGTGGCTGATTTATTTGAAGGGAATGCATGTGATTAAAGGCTAGGAAAAGTTGTGGAATGGCTTGTATGAAGGGGGAATAATGCACGGCATTAAGTGATTGGAATGGTGTGTTGTGAAGGGGAAGTCACGGCCAAAGGGAATTGTAATCTTTTGGTCTTCAATTTCGTCCATCTACTTGGCTTCAAGTATATGCAATCCATTTAACGCCCCAAACTACTCCAAAATGCACCAAAATGCACCCTTTTGCATACCTTGCCCTTAGAACCTGAAAACACACAAAAGAAGCATAAAGGACTAAAATAACTAAAGAAACATAACGTAAATGCACGAGAACAAGCCATTTAAGTCGCATGAATATGCTCCTATCATGCACACGAGTCGGAACCACCTATAGTGGTCTGTACGACAGGCTGGTGTATATAAATACGCTCAGTGCTACGATCACGTGAAGGCTGGGCGATGTATCGCAAGTCACCTACGAGTCGGAACCACCTAAAGTGGTCTGTATGACAGGCTAGCACCTGCCTTGGATCTAAGGTGAGCGTACGATGCGGAAGGTGAACAATCACGTGAAGGCTAGGCTCTACTATGGCAAACCACAATCATCGAGGTGCAGGAATATAAGCTATAACTCAATCTCATCATCACCACATCTATCACTAACAACATACTCACCTGACTTACCTGAGCGTCCGCAGCACCAAAGCATAACCAACACAATCACAATAATAATATCAACGATATTCGACATGGCATTTCAATTATAAAACCATTAAAATGTAAGTTATGGAAAGATACCAATCAATATATATATATATATATATATATATATATATATTGAAAACAAAAGCCCACTCACTGATACGTAGAAGGATCGTAAACCTCGTGCCTCACGTGGCTGCACTCGTCCTTCCGATAGTCCTCACCTATATGCGAAACAACTATATAAATGTCAAATTAATGCACATAACCAACCTTAGGAAATAACTTCTCATACATTGCTCAAATGGGGTGTTTGAATATACCAACATGCTCTACTCAACCTCACGAACATCCCCATATTTTTAAAATAATTTTTCAACCTCTCACGTGCCGCCACGCGCCTGCCAAGGCACGGCCAGACGTGCCAGTCACGAACGGGCACGTGCCTGGCACGCGTATGGAAACCCTAACGCCGTTAGGGAATATTCCGTTAAAACCCTCACAAAAGTTAACGCCCGTTACTTGACGCTGTTAGAATATTCCTTTAACTCTAACAGAATATTCACCTACTTCTTCGGTGAGCCTCGCCGGTAGCCGCCGTCCGCTGCTGTCTGCAACTCGAAATTTCGCTGGTTTCTGGAAAAACTTCAAACCTTAATATCTTCTTCATTTCTTAACCAAATTCCATGAAATTTGTACCAAAATGAAGCTTACAATGAGTAGAACAAAACCTTACTACTTTTGGAACTTAAATCCAACGGAATCTCACCGGAGGAACCTCAATAATCCGGCCAAACCTACAACTCGATGAACTCGAGCTTCCCGATGTCCAAAACACTTCAAAATTACTCCCCAAGCTTCGTGAAGACGTCCTAAAGCTTCATACAACCTCAAAACTCGATGAAACCTCCGCGATCAGAGTGCATGAACAGTGCACCAAAACTGGATTCTCGGGTTTTTGAGGGTTTCACGTTCTACCAACACCACCAATCGACTCCTAAGCTCGAAAGGAGTCCAAAAACACCAACAATAAAGACGATCCGTGCCAGAAATGGTTGGATGGAGGTTGTCCGTACACTTGCAAAGGAAATGGAAGAAAGTCCGAGAGAGAAAAGAGAAAGAGAGTCACAGGTGTGTGTGTGTGTGGGTGTGTGGTCCTAGATGAGTTCACAACCAAAAAGAACAACTAAACAACACCCCAAAATGGCAATTAACCACCAAGGGCAGAATCATCATTTCACACCTACGGTACAAATGATTCAAGACGGGCTGTCACAACCTTGTCCAAATACACTATTATAAAATGTCTTAATTAATGATTACTGAAAATTTGGTTCGAAACCCGCTGATGTTGTGAAAGCCAGACTTGTGGTCAGGAAGAGGCTAAAATGTCTTTGTGAATCTTTGTAACTCTTGAAAATTGTGAATAACCGTAGCTTACCACAAATTATTTCTTTAAAAAAGAAAATAAAAAAATTGATTATTGAAAATTTTGGCAAATATGATTTTCACAAATTATTTTCTCGCAAATAAACAAAAATTTGTCCCAAAAAAGATGGACTCAAATATGTCCCAAAAAATATGAACTGTGACAGCCCGTCTTGAAATATTTGTATCGATGGCGTGAAATTACTAAAGTACCCTGGTGTCGTGTGCTTTTACTTTGGTTGTGGACCAATATGCTAACTCCCTAATATTTTGGAACCAATTAGGAAATTAGACTTTGGTTTTATTTTTATTTGTTTTTGGTTGGTGACTCAGCTGGACATCACACACACCCATACCACACTTTCGTGTACTCTCCCTCTCCTCCCTCTCTCGGATTTTCTTGCCATTTCCGTACAACTGGTACGGGCAACCCTCAAAAACCTTTCAAACATCACAGATCGAGGTCGTGAATGGTGTTTTTGGACTCCTTGCAAGCTTAGGAGTTAATTGGTGGTGGTGGTGGTGGTGGTGGTTGGACGTGAAAACCTCGGAAACCTTTGGAACCAAGAACCCCGATATGGAGTACTATTCATGCAAACGTGATCGTGAAGTTTTCAAAGAGTTTTAAGCTTCTAGGGAGCCTTAAAACATCTTCATGAAGCTCGGGGAGTAATTTTGAAGTGATTTGGATGTCGAGAAGCCCAGGTTTAGCGAGTTGCAGGTTTGGTCGGAATATCGAAGGTTTTTCAGGCGACTTTCCCTTGGTTTTAGGTCCCCCAAAGTGGTATGATTATGTTCTTCTCATTGTAAGCTTCATTTTGGTACAAATTTCATGGAATTTGGTTGAGAAATGAAGAAGATATTGAAGTTCTAAGTTTTTCCAGTTTCCGACGACGCAGATGGTGGCCTGCGGCAGCTCCAGTAAGGATCACCAGAGAAGACGAAGAATATTCTGTCAGCTTTGACGGAATATACTAACGACGTTACTAATGGCGTCAGGTATATATAACGGTATATTCCATTTTTGGACGGAATATTCCCTAACGCCGTTAGGGTTTCCGTACGTGTGCAAGGCACGTGCCTGCGAGTAGATCAGAAAATTTTTCTAAAAATATGGGATGTTCGTGGTGTTGAGTAGATCATGTTGGTATATTCAAACACCCCATTTGGAGAAGTTATTAGCTAATTTTGTTTATGTGCTTTAAATTAACGTTTATATAGTTGTTTCGCATATAGGTGAGACTTATCCTCAGGAGGAGCGCAATCAATCGAGGCTCAGGGGCTACGACCCACATACTAGTGAGTGGGCTTTTGGTTTTCAGTATATACCTATATACTTGGTATTTGTCCCAGAAAATGAATTTGAATGATTATACGTCTTGAAATGCCATGCAAAGTATCTGCCTATTTTACTCATGCATTAGTAGTTGCATATATTTATGATTGGTGCTACGAACACACAGGTAAGTGCCAGGTAAGTTTATAGATTATGGTTGTGAGATTGATTTTTATGTGAGATGTGTTGAGAGCTCATAAACCTGCACCCCGGTGTTAGTGCTCCCGCCCAAAGTTAGGGTACAGTCCTTCACGTGATGTTCACCTCCCACATCATACGCTCATCTTGGATCTAAGTTAGGTGCACAGTCCTGTCGTACAGACCACTATTGGTGGTTCCGACTCGTAGGTGACCCGTGATTATTCGCATAGTCTTCACGTGATCGTAGCACTTGAGCGTATTATTTACACCCAGTCCTATCGTATAGACTACTTTAGGTGGTTCCGACTCGTGTGCAGGTATATTTGTTGAGATGTGGATTTGAGCCGTATAGGTCACGTTAGGTGACTCCGGCTAGATGGATGAGCTCTAGATTCAGCCGTACATGTCACATTAGGTGACTCCGGCTGACATATCATTTGCATTGATTTATATCACATGGCTTACATATATTTTTTTATGCTGAGATATTTGGCATGACATATTGGTGAATTTTGCTATTCTGAGCATGGTTGTGGTATAGATATATATATATATATATATATATATTCTACTTTCTAGAAAATTATACAGGTTTTACAGCGAGGGGTTAGAACTTTTGAGAAATGAAATGATTTTGAAAAGCTTTGTTTTTGCCCATTCATACTTTCTATTTTGCACCCCTCCAGGTTCTAGTTAAGAGTGCTTTTTGGTGGCTTGCGAGGAATTCATGGCAGCTCTGACAGATTATCACCATTGTATGGTCACCTTTGGGTGTTGTATAATTAGCATTTGTCTTGCTAGACTGCACTTAGGCTACTTATGCTCTAGTTGTGTATTTTACACTTAATCTCGCACTAGCATGTTATCTTAGCTAGTATTGCTGGTAGTTTGTTTTTATTTATTCGTATTTTTATTATTATTTTTGCTTCTGCACTGTACACATGACTACGTCACCCTCACGTGACGGCCAGCACGCTTTAATTTCGATCGGGTATGTCATGAACTCATAAAAGAAATCTTACAACTTTTTTTTTTAACAGAATATTGGTGTTAATGATTAATAAAAAGTGAAATTGATGGAATCGAACCTATACAAGATGCGTAAACGTGCATAACCATAATTAATTTTTACCACAGAGATAAATCGCCATTGGTTGTTCCAATCAATTTTATTATAGAATGAAAAATAAAAAAATGGTGTTCATAATAAAAAAGGGTAGGCACTCTCCTACACAAATAGAATTTTGTAACTTTCCAGATTCAGATCATCCCCTCTTTTCTCTCCTTTGAACACCATAACACATAAAACCAAACCTCCAATTTCTCGACGTCTCAGAGAGACTCCCTCTTTCCCTCTCTCTTCTCCTCTTTCTCTCTCTGACCCTGCGAATTGCGGTGGCCCCTTTTCTCTCTCCTTTCTCGAGGGGTCGTCGCCTCCTCTCTCCCCAGAAAAGAAAAAAAATAAAAAATTTGCAAGAACAAACCCTCCCCCGCTTCCCCCATCCTTCAAACAAAAAAAGGGCTCGAATTTCAATCCGATCAAACCCGAATTCGCATTCAGGAGCTGAGAATTTGAAAGATGTCGGAGATGGCGAACACAGACCCGGAAGGGATCGACGGAGTTCGGATGACCTGGAACGTCTGGCCACGCACCAAGGTGGAGGCCAGCAAGTGCGTAATCCCACTGGCCGCCTGCATCTCCCCGATCCGGTCCCACCCCGACATCCCTACGCTCCCCTACGCGCCGCTCCGCTGCAAGACCTGCTCTGCCGTGCTGAACCCCTTTGCGCGCGTGGACTTCACCGCCAAGATCTGGATCTGCCCCTTCTGCTACCAGCGCAATCACTTCCCGCCTCACTACGCCGCGATCTCTGAGACCAATCTCCCTGGTGAACTCTACCCTCAGTACACCACCCTCCAATACGCTCTGCCGACCGATTCCGCCGCCCCTCAATCTCTGCCGTCCCCGGTTTTTGTCTTCGTGCTCGACACGTGTATGATCGAGGAGGAGATGGAATATGTCAAATCGGCGCTCAAAAGGGCACTTGGTTTGCTGCCCGATAATGCGCTTGTTGGGTTCGTTTCGTATGGAACCCAAGTTCAGGTCCATGAATTGGGGTTCTCTGATTTGTCGAAAGTGTATGTCTTTCGGGGTAGTAAGGAGATTTCAAAGGATCAGGTTTTGGAGCAATTGGGTCTCAGCGTTCTTGGTCGGAGACCTGGTCCAATTGGTGTCGGAGGGTACCAGCCGAAGGGGGTGCAAATGGGAATTCCCAATGCTGGTGTAAACCGCTTTTTGTTGCCTGCTTCAGATTGCGAATACACACTGAACACGGTGGGATTTTGAGTGTGATTGATTGGTTTCTGTATTTTTGTGGTTGATTTTAATAAATGGTGTATTTGGGTTCTGCTAATTGGGTCTGAATTTGTGAATTTTCAGCTGTTGGATGAATTGCAAACGGACCAGTGGCCTGTGCCACAAGGAAGTCGTGCTTCCAGGTGTACAGGAGTGGCGTTGAGTGTTGCTGCAGGGTTACTTGGAGCTTGTCTGCCTGGGACCGGGGCTCGCATTGTAGCTTTGGTTGGCGGTCCATGCACTGAGGGGCCTGGCGCGGTAAAGCTTTAGAGTTCTGTTGTGCTTGTGACTTGATGTTCTGGAATGCATGAATATGTGTATCTAAATTTTTATTCTTGTCTTATGGCCGTAGTTACTTTAGAAATCTACAATAAATCAGTGTAAGTAGGCATAATGAAGGATATGGGTCCATTGGTGCATATTATCACTTAATTTGATAAATGGAAGTAATATGATTTATTCAAATTCTAGATGAGAAAGATGTTGATTTATGAAAGTTATGCAGATTGTATCGAAAGATATGTCAGACCCAGTACGTTCCCATAAAGATCTGGATAAGGATGCGGCACCGTACTTTAAGAAAGCAATCAAGTTTTATGAAAATCTTGCAAAACAGCTGGTTAGCCAAGGCCATGTCTTAGACCTGTTTGCATCTGCACTCGATCAGGTCTGTCTTTGTTTCAACAGTTATTCCTGCAGTTCTGGCTTTATTTATGTTTTCCCTGTGTAAACTGGATCATCAATTCAGTTATTAGGGCTTATGTTCCTGTTTGTGCATGGTTGACCTGTATTAGCATCCAGACTGTTAACATAGCATTGTTGGTTTGGTTTGGATGTATTTTCATTGCTGTTGTTTCATGGATTGCTCGCGTTTCTCAATCCGTCTTTCACTTCCTTGAAGCAGTAGATGAACCATTTGTGATTTGTTGTTAGAATCAAATGAGCACTGTATACATCTTTGGACAATTTAACAATGCAACTTCACAATCATGTGATCTTCTCCAATGCAGTTAAGACTCATGGAACAGAAACTTTTTTGGTTAGAATATTGCTTGTTAGACTCACATTTCTTAATTTATTGGGTTGTATTTCTTTTATCACACAGGTAAGGTTTATTTGAAAATTTGAAACAGTTTGAAGTTTGAAATATAAAATAGTTGAATGCCAGACCATGGCTTCTTCCTTGAAGGTGTATGAAATCGCTAACTAAAGCACCATTGGTACTGTATATAGGAAGTCCATGAATCGAAACCTAAACAAGAACAAAAGGGTCACAGATGTATGCCTTTAGTTTGGCATCTAATATGCCAATGAGCTGTTAAAGCTGCAAAGCATCAGATGTATTCATGAAATGGTCAAAATTTCAAACAACTTTAAGATTGAGCAGTTAATTGTGATCTTACGAATTCATGTTTATATCTCTGATCCTATTGTGTAGTGATTTTATAGGTTTGATCATGTAATATGTGCTCTTTGTGTGTAATTCAGCAAATTTGTCTTAGCACACACCCACACACACACACTATAACAGTCATTGTCGTTCATTTTAACAATTTCTAGAAAAAATGTCATTCTAATGCTGCTTAGAAATTTTTTTGTCAATTTATTTAATGTATGTTAAATAAATTGACAAAAAAAATTCTAGAAAAATGTCATTCGTTTTAACAATTTCTAGAAAAATATCATTCTGTTTATGCACCTGGATTCTATTTTAATTATGCATTGACTTGAGACAATACTTTTGTATAGGTTGGGGTTGCAGAAATGAAAGTTGCAATTGAAAGAACTGGTGGGCTTGTTGTTCTAGCAGAAAGTTTTGGTCATTCTGTATTCAAAGACTCTTTCAAGCGTGTTTTTGAAGAAGGGGAACAATCGCTTGGCCTATGTTTCAAGTAAGTGTAATAATCATTAAACATTTCGATGGTCTTTGTTCACATTTTGAGTTCATCATAATTAGTTTGGCAATCAACTTTAAAGTTGTATTGCTGACAATGTAGCTGAATTTGGCAACCTCTAGTGAAACTCCAAATGTGATTCTTGTAACTTGTTATTTTTGTGATACACGTTGAGCATGGTTATAAGAATGAAGCTGTGGCTTGGGAATCCCATTCCTTGATTTTTTTGACTTTTAAGCTTGTAGAGTATGCGGTCAAATGCTAGCAATGGTACTAGCTGGCTCTTGTCAGTTGCTTTTTCCATACGCATGATTGTTCTTCTTGTTTTTTCCTTTTTCATTTTGGGTGGGTGGAAGAATTGAAGAATAGAATGAGAAGGGGACCCATACGGTAGAGCGTGGCTGTTAGCATTCTAGTATCTGAAGGTAGTGAGTGGCTGCTTGGTATATGTACCAGTGGACCATTTATCATTACATGGGATTCCTTACACAGTCGTATCCCTTAGGTTAGGTATTTGTCCTATCCAATGCCTTTTTCATGTGCATGGACACAGTAAAAATCCCTTACCTTTTTTCACTGTTCTTTATGCTTTGACTTGTATCATTAACGAATTTGTGTTCAAACTCTAATTATATGTTACTGACATTATTGTTTCAGTGGTACACTTGAGATCAACTGTTCGAAGGACATAAAAATTCAGGGGGTCATTGGACCCTGCACATCTTTGGAGAAGGTTGAACAATTTAATGATTTAGAACTTGTATTTATTTGCATTTATGGCAATAATGTTTAGAACCATTTAAATTTATTCAAAGTAGACATGTGTTTGTGGAGTTTGATGTTAAATTTTCCAAGCCTGGCAGAAAGGACCTGCTGTTGCTGATACTGCTATAGGGGAGGGAAATACAACAGCTTGGAAAATGTGTGGCCTTGACAGGAGTACTTGCTTGACAGTTTTCTTTGATCTCTCGTCTAGTGATCAGTCAAATACACCGGGAACTGTAAATCCACAATTGTATTTGCAGTTTCTTACAAGGTATGCTTGAACATTGTATCATGACCTTCAAAGATGAAACATCTTATGGCGCCCTTTGGTTAAATTTCTGTTGTTATTTCTATGTGAAGACTGAATTTTGGGTGGTTTCTTTCTTAATTGCAGCTTTCAAAACCCTGAAGGTCAAATGATGCTTCGAGTAACCACAATTACTAGACGATGGATAGATAGTTCCGTTAGCCCAGAGGTATTTCAGTTTGTTTGGCGAAGCCTGGTTATTTTAAATTCAAGTTTACCCTGGACGTTACAAACACCCTTGTTTATGTTGCACGATTGTGCTGTGACACATTCACACACACATACACACACATGTGCTTCCTTTTATTTAGATAACCAAGCAAGGTAAAACTGTGCTGCTTTCTCTTTTGCTTTTTACTGCTTTCTTGTAAATCCTTCTATTAAGTTCAAGTAAGAGTTGGATACTAGAGAGAATATAAGTGTTTGTAAAAGGGTATGCATTTTGAATAAACAGTACTTTTGATTTTGTTCTTAGTTTTGCCAAGTTTGTTGTATATCAACAATTTCTAGAGTTGTTGCGTTGTCATTTTTCTCTTTGCTTGTGAAAGCTGCTATCAAATACTTGGCTATGTAATAGGATCCTGAACCTTGTGCCGAACGATATGTTTTCTTGTTATATATTTTCCTATGCTGGTAACTTATTATTAGTTACCGAACTTGATTGAAGGGATATCACTGACGCAGAAGGATCTTGAATTTACAGGAATTGGTTCAAGGATTTGACCAAGAGACTGCTGCTGTAGTGATGGCAAGAAAAACTTCCTTGAAAATGGAGTCAGAGGTACTTTACAGCCATTCTCAACTGCTGTTATCTTGTATATCCCCATTGCATACCTTTTCCAATTTGTTATGTTCATATCTCACAACTTATGATAAGAATACACTGTTAGTATCCTAAAGTGAAATCATGTTGGGATAAGTTTTTTGCACTCACCGTATTTATGTATATGAAGTTACTTGTACTGCGATATTTCAAACTTTCAATCTGTGTATCTTAAATTTGATCGATTGCAAATTCGTAACATAATTTATAGGTCTTGCTTTCTTAGTACCCCAAGTTTTGATCTCAGGACTCTTAATATTTCAAACTTCCAGTCAGGGTTTCTTTAAATTGTTTGATAGCCAATTCTTCAACACAATTTATAGGTCGTCCTTTCTTATGAATGTTCTAAGCTATCTTATTGTAGATTACTTGTATTTTGTTGGTTCTTCACCAATGAATTTTTTCCTTGATTTATTTATTGTTCTTGTAACTTTGTAAGCATAGACTTCTGAAAAGATGTTTGATGGTGTTTCATATAGGAATCTTTTGATGCTACACGATGGTTGGATCGAGGACTTATTCGCCTCTGTTCGAAATTTGGTGACTATCGAAAAGATGATCCATCATCCTTTACTTTAAATCCCTGTTTCTCATTATTCCCTCAATTTATGTTTAACCTCCGACGCTCACAATTTGTGCAGGTAACCATGATTGCCCCTCTCCTTTTCATCTCTTTTGTTTTGATAATAACTTTGTAAACTATTGCTAATATATTATCTTTTCCCCACTTTGGTATCTGAAATGGGGTATTTGCAGGTTTTCAACAACAGCCCAGATGAAACTGCATATTTTCGCATGTTGTTAAATCGGGAAAATATCAGCAATGCTGCTGTCATGATACAACCATCATTAATATCTTATTCGTTTAATTCGCTGCCTCAGCCAGCATTGTTGGATGTAGCATCCATTGCAGCTGACCGTATTCTCCTGTTGGATTCATATTTTAGTATAGTCATTTTCCATGGAATGACAATAGCACAATGGCGTAACATGGGATACCAGAATCAGCCAGAACACCAGGTATGAATGCTTAATTTGTGATTCCCTGACTAGTGTTGTGCAAATGTTGATATTGTTTCAATTTTTCTTTTTTAGGCATTTGCACAACTACTGCAAGCTCCTCATGATGATACGCAATTGATTGTTCGGGACCGTTTCCCTGTCCCTAGATTGGTGGTGTGCGATCAGCATGGCTCCCAGGTTTCTAACTTGTTTAAAATCTTAGATTTTATTTGATTGCTTTCCCAGTTGTACGGTTGATAGTTTTCATCTAGGCTCGATTTTTAAGTATGTTAAAACTTATAAATTAAAAATGATTGTAAACCCGTTTGTTAGTGATAATGCTAGTTTGGTCTTTACCTTGTTGTTGGCCATGAGTAAAATTAGCAATTATTAATGCGGATGAAGGCTCATGCCCCAGATTTGCATTTTGACAATTTCTAGGACTCTTGTCAATTGTGTTGTCTATAAAGTTGTTTCTTTATTATAATTTAAAACATGTTTTACAGTCTATTTAAGGTTACTTGTCTCAGAATATTTTACTGAAAAAGGTCAACTCATCGGAGAGAATAGTTACACGTAAAAGTAGTGCTTATTAATCTTCGCAAGTGACAGTTGTCAACTCTACTGCATTTGATGAAGTTGGATGAATTTTCTGCTGTGTTCTGAACGCCTACTTGTTTTCTACTGTCATGCTCTGCAGGCAAGATTCTTGTTGGCAAAGTTGAACCCGTCAGCAACATACAACAATGCCCATGAAATGGCTGCCGGTTCAGATGTAATCTTCACAGACGATGTGAGCCTTCAAGTTTTCTTTGAGCATCTTCAGAGGCTGGCTGTACAATCCTGAGAGAGCCAAATAGAAATTTGAATTCTGCAGCTACACTTGATTTTGGTGCGGGGAAACTTGGTTGGTTTAGATTTTCTACCCCCTCTTGTCCTCCTGTTCCATTCAGTTGTTTTCCTTTCTTTCCAATGTATCTAAAGACTAGAGGCGAGACCCCCAAAATTCTTTTAATAAGGAAAAAAGCTTACAACATTCTTTGGGGGGGTGCGGGAAAGGTATTTAGTACTGCCTTTTGATAGAATAAGGGACGTGAAAGGCGAAATGAGTTTGATATGTTTGGAAAGAAAGGTATATGAGAGGAATGTGAGTTAAAGTGCGTTCCGTGCTTGGGTTGCGGAGCCAATTCGGGAGGATATGTTGTGAGATTTTTCTTTTTACATTTTGTGTCTCTACTCAACCAGGTCAGGAGGTACTTTCTTGTGGCTGAAGTTTTTAAGTTGTATACTGTGATGGGCTTATGAAGGTAGGCTGTATGTACTTTTTTTATTTTATATAAATATATTAGGGGGAGAAAAGAAAATGTTTGGATTCATTTCAGGCTGAAGTTGAGGACATTATTGTTATTGGATACTTTCCGTTGTATTGACTTGACAATAGAAATGTTTTGGAAATTGTTGAGCTGATTTCGCTTCCCTGATGTGATTTATATTTTTCTTGTGTTGGTCGTTTGTTTAAGCTGCTTTTTTGGATCTTTTAACACGTCCAGGCTCCAACTCCGCCTCTCAACGGGTTACGTAGGGTGAGGCTCTGTACCACCTTTTAGCCTATTGTATAAGCACTTCACTGTGAGCTTTAAGGTCTGGCTTTGAAGTTTGAACATCAGGCCACCTGAACACAAGATTTGACCTTGCATTCTCCTTCGGCATCGAGACGTAAACCTAATTTCCTTTTTTTATTAACCAAGATGTTTAAGAAACTGGAAACAGGAAACTGGAATATTAGCTGATCTTGGCAACCTAAGACCTATGCAACTAGGAAGGTCTTCCCAAGTTTACAAATGCGACTTAAAATGGGGCACGCTTCCCAGCTGCCATTATCAGTATTTCCATCCAATCCCAACTACACTATCTGAATTGCGTGATAGACTGGTCAGGATGATTGAGAATCTGTTGCATCAGCTGCGACAGCAGCGTGGACCCAAAACTTGAACTTGATTTATGAGTATGCTTGCAATTTTGTCTGCTGTATCTTTCAGCTTGTGAGTTTGTGACATCACTGTATGTGTTTATTTTCTGCACGCGGAAAGGGATTGAACCCTTGACCTTCCTTCAATTCTAATCCTTGTCCTCTAGTTTTGTTTTTGAATACTCTGCCCCCGCTGATGCTGATCTCAAAATGAATTGCACCACCTATGACAAGATGATGAGGGATTGAAAACCGTACGGAAACTTTGTTAACATACATGCTATTTACATACAAAAGATAATACTTGATGTGTACATACTATTTTGAATGTCAACGAAATTCAATTAAGTTAGCAGACTATCGTTGACCGACAAGTTTTCAATGCTTTAAAAACCTAATTTTCTGCAATAGAATCAGATCAAAAAGCACTCAATTATCACAAGATTTAAAGAGTTGATATAACTCCAAGTTGAAAAGCATCCAAATCCACCAAACTCAACATTCACCACCAGTTTACTTCGACTTGCACCATAAAAATATCAATTGATTAGTGATAGGTCAACAAAACGGTCAAAATCTTCGGAAGTCTGGAATACCGGATATGCCAAGCAAAAGTTTAAAGATTTGCATTAGCACACAGGAAACCAACATATATGTCCTAGATGAATGAAAAAGATTACAGCTAAAACAGATCTCATAGAAAGCCGGAAAAAAAAAGAGCCTCGTCAACAAACTGTTTTATGCAGCAGCGCCAGCACCCTTTCCCTTCTTCCTCTGGAGCTTCTTCATGTAAAACTCAAGTTCCTTACCTTCCAAGACGTACCTGACAAACAAGTTTGCAAAACAAAATAAGACGACGCAAACAAAAGATATACAACTGAAGATAGATAGTATCACATGTTATTATTAGACTCACCCATCACATCTGCCACATTGGCCTGGACGCGAAGATATGCAAGCGAGCAATCTCCCACCTCCAAACTGCTCTTCTATATGGGAATCTAGAGTGCGACCTTCCTGACGCTTCTCAAGCTTCCTGGTAACATGATTACTCTTCCTTGCTTCCTCGGTAGTTCCTTCTCCTTCCTGCTTGTACATATAACGATGGAACTAGTTAGTTTGGCAATGAAATAAATTATCATCCACTAACAAGTATAAAGTAAGGACTTTAAAAGACAGATGACAACATGAACGCCTATAAGAAACCAATATCCTTATTTCACAAACCATGCAGATCCACACATATGAGCTTGATGAGAAACAAAGGTAGTTTATGAAGTTACTAAAAAGACCTTGATGGGCCCTAACAATAAATACCTACATCATTCTTGTTTTACTACCAACAAATAGGACACTAAGATTTGAATCACTTCGTCTCTCAACACTAATCTCACTACATTCACAGTGCAATTCAAGAACTATGTGCAGTTACAAGTCATAGTGCAACCATTCAGAAGTGAATACTAATTTTACAACCCAAGTTGTTCAACAATAACAATGATGATACTTAGGTAAGTAGAGGGTCTAGAAATTATCCCCACTGTAGCAAATAAAAGTTTCGAATTCACAAAAATTACGTCTGGGGTATCCTTCTTAGCAGCACCGGACTTCTTCTTTCTGCCAATTTCAACTCCATAATGCTGAAGATACCACTGCTTAAATGGAGCGGCATCCACCTGGACAATGGCGCTTTTCACCAGAGTTTGTGTTCTAACAAGTTCATTGTTTGAGGCATTGTATACAACATCCAGGAGACGGGTTTTACGAGTAATGGCTTCGCTGCCCCACGAGAAGTTCCCAGTATCCAACCTGAGAGCTCTCCACTTCACATTGCCTCCTCGAACACGGATTCTCCTTACAGTCTTGTTGCTTGAGAGCTTTGTATTAGCAGGCTGACGTCCGAGCTCATACCTGTATATGACAAAGAATGAAAAACAATTAGAAATCCACAACACAACAATTGTCTAGCTTTGAAGCAAAGTCCACACTATTATTCTTCAGAAACCCTGAACATGATTAAAAACCCTTCGGCTTGACTCTTGATAAAATATTTGAGCAGATAAGAAAACGGAAATTTCACCACTCTTGGCAACGGCACATGCACAAAATTATTACATAGGTTGAGTTCTCATACAGTTCGTAGCTTGATTGTCCCATGGGATTCAAGATCTAAACAGTTCTATCTTATGCTTTTTCTTGCAGGGCAGCCAGAGGTAAACCTGGGACAGCTTATATCATAGTCTTTCTAGCGATATCACTGCCTGAACTAAGCAACTAAATAAGGATGTACATTAAACGAATTAACAAATTCCTCAATTCATTACCGGCAGAAACAACAAACTGAAATTAAAATTCTTTTATGCACCAAAGTTGTAAAACCTATATAACATGAAACAGATAGAGCCATATAGCAATAGTTTAAACATCAAAAAAAGCATAAAAAACCCAAAAATTCAAAACAGATGAAAACTCGGAGTTTCAGCCTAAACAAGTCCGAAAAAATTGAGTGAAAGCTTTAGTTGCATTTGCTATCTACAAGTTAAGATACAAATCTCATTCTCTCAGACAAGCACTAATCATAATTACCATAGAGGAACCAGTGTTTAGCCTAACAATCCAATAAAAGCAGACACCAACCATCATAAAAAATCAAAGAACATAACGAAAAACTCAGAAATAATTTACGATTATTAACAGATCTGTAGCCTAACTGCAACAGAACAAATGAATAAAAAAAATATTACAAAGGGCAAATAACAAATAATAGAAAATGAAAGAAATTAGAAAAAAGCAATCAAAGAGTAAAGCAGAGAGAAAAGGAAGAGAAATGGGGAAAGGAAGAGAAATGGGGTTGAAGGTGGAAGAGTAATTACTTTCTCTTCTTCCTCCATGCCTTCTTCTTGCCTCCAGTGGCACGGCGCTTGTGCATCGAGTCACGTGAGATACCTGCATATTATCACAAACACAAAACCATCAGCCATTGCAGCACACAGAGAGGGGAGAGAGAGAGAGGTCTGAGTGGTACCCATGGTTTCTGGACTGGGGGAGAGCTTCGGCGAGATCTCCTCTTCCCTTCGGCTAAAATAAACCCTGAAACCCTCCTCTTAAAAGAGTATTGCTCTGAAAACCCTAGGGCAATTATACTAAGCAGAAGGACATTTTCGTCTTTTGAGTGGGTCATTTTTTTAGCCACGCTCCAATCTCGTGTATGTGTGTATATATAGACTTCAGAATAATTAAGAACGTCTAACTTTGTTTTAATTTATAATTAAGTCTATAAACGTCTAACTCTGCCTATTTATAGAATTTTTAATTATTTTGACGTGCGCGCGCGCGCGCATATATATAAAGGTAACAACACAATAATTAGGAATTGAAATAAACAAAGATGAAGTAAAGGATAAGTAAAGATTGCAATAGAAAATGATAAAATAGGTATAAAGTAAGAAAGCAGACTTATATTAATTTATTAATCTTCAATGTTACAAGATAACACCAAAGTTGAAAAGAGAGATATCACTCAAAGAAAAGCACTTAGTAGTATATTTTACAATGCGAAAGTCTTAAGCATACAAACAACTGAGCTCAAAGGCTCTTAAAATAGAAAACTAAAAGCAAACTTAAACTCTAGGTGTCAAAGAGGTAGTGGAGCATCATAAAGCATCCTACCATAATGAGCGACATCTTCACTTTATGCAATGGCACTGACTCAGCTTCACGAGGGATTGTTGAAAGATTCCTAAAAAAGTGCATAACAACAAGCAGCTACAGGAATCAAAGGACAATTATTTTGAAAAGGGAATAATGGTCGGCATCTAGATATCAGACATCATCTTATCTTCTCTTTATTCAGAGAAAAAGCATTTCATGCTTTATTTCTTTGAACGGATCGAAGGACAGATTCCATAGCAGTCATCCTTATTATCATCATCATAGTCTTCATCCATGTTATGCTGAGATGACGCGGCTTCAGATTCCATCTCCTCGTCATCTAGACCGTCAATCTCAAGGATTTTTAGAACTTTATCCTTTAGATCTTTCTTTGAGCAAGATGGGTTGGACTCGATTAAAGACTTAAGCTTTTCAGTCTTTGATGATGATGATGATTCAGGGGTTGAATGGGAAGGTTCAACTGCACTCTGCCTATCAGGCTAGATTATTTTGGCTTGAGATGATCCAAGTGGAACTTATCCCACCAACGAATAAAAAGCTTTCTCTCAAGCTGGGGAGCAAAATCCCAAGAACCATCATTATCGTCAACAAAACCATAATCCCATTTCAGGATCCAATTAAGATCATACATTATCATGAACTAAAGAAACAACTTTCTTTTTTCAGGATAATCAACATTTTCTTTACTAAAATTATCTAGAAAAGAATCAACAATGACTTGGGGTAGATAATCCATACTAGGATCCAAACAATAAACCATGTTCTAAACCATTTTCTACTTTAAAACTTTTTTATAGCCTTCATTAGAAGCATTTGTTTCTACAATTTTGAATGCTTCAAGATTTGCCAGAGCTAAACACAGGAGTTCTTTGACTTTTCTTTGCTAAAGTCGCACCATTCGAGTTTGTTCCTCGGTCTAAGGAACAAGATTCTTCTTCAGCCTGTGATAGAGTGGTTTTGTCACATCCCGGCACGTCTTGATTTTGGTCGGGGTGTGTTAGGCTTGCTATCCTTGGCGAGGTCCTTGTAAAACTCACCTACATAATTTAAACTGCATAAAAATCTTTGCAATTGTGTTTTATCCAGGATTTCATCCGGAAATTTATCAGCAAAATCGATAGCCCTATCAATAGGAAAAATTATTCCTTTAAGAATATTATGCCCTAAAAATCGAACCTTGGTTTGAAAGAGTTTCACCTTTCGTGTCGAGATGACCAAACCTGCACTCTTCACCACTTTCAAGAAAATACTTAAATGCTTAAAGTGATGTTCTAACAAATTAGAATAGACTAAAACATCATCAATATAGACAATAATAAAAGTGGAGTAAGGATTAAAGATGTCATTCATTATGTTTTGAAATTCAGAAGGAGCATTCTTTAATCCAAATGGCATCCGTTCCATTCATAGTGTCTAAAATGAGACATTGAATGCAGTTTTATACCTCTCCTTTTAGCAATTTGAATATGCCAATATCCAGACTTGATATTGAATTTAGAAAATATTAAAGCTTGATTTAGCATATCTAGCAGATTTTTGTTATTTGGAATAGGGTTTCTAATCCATCTAAGAGCTTTATTCAAAGGTTTGTAATTGATAACTAACCTTGGCGCTCCTCGCTCAAGTTCAGCGGCATTTTCTATATAGTATGTTGAACAACTCCAAGGAGAGTAGCACTTTCGGATTAACTTCTTTTCAAGAAGTTCGTTGATTTCTTTTTTGCAAATCTCCATTAGTTTGCTATTCATTTGAATGGGTCGAGCCTTAGTAGGAATTTTCTTTTCATCAAAATCAGGCTCATAAGGTAATTCGACAATATGTATCTTACGATCCCAAAAGGCGTTTGGAATTTCAACACAGACTTGTTTTTCAAATTCCTTTTGTATGGACTCAACCCTTTCTTTCACTATGTTTGTGTGAGTTGTTCTTCAGTCCTTTTAAAATGCATTTCTTCTTTCAGAGAACAAAGAAATTTTTCTTTGTTTTGAATATTCTTTTGTATGACATTTACATACTGCATTTGAGGTTCTCTGGAAAATGTGAACTTTACCTTTGTTCCTTCTACTTCAGTCTCAATATCTTCTTCTGAAACTTTAAATGGGTAAAGCATGTTGATAAAAGGAATACCTAAAATCATAGCATGGCTTGGTCCTTTAACCATAACAAAAGGGGTTTCGAAACAAACCTCTTCTTGAATCACCGCGGCATCTGACACCTTATATTGGATTTTCATGGGTTGATTAGTTGCACTACACAAACCTTGAGAAGTTTTTGAGAAGTACTTAGTGGGTACAACTCCTTCATTTACACAGTTTAGATCTGCTTCGGAGTCAATGAGTGTTTCAAAAGAAAACCTGAAAGTTTTGTTAATAGCAAAGGTAATTATAGAATACCATTTTTGAGAAATTACCTTATCGATGCTATTAACATACTTTAGGGTCGAGATACTGTTGTTTGGATCGGCAAGCTGTAATACTGGTTCATACTCTGGTGGTTTATTTTTCTTCTTTTCTGCAAAGTCATCCATCAGATGTTGAAACTTGCTTTTAGTTTTAGTTCAATTGCCTTTACTCCGAACCTCTTCTTCGGGCGAAAAATGATAGAGTTCGAGGACTTGAACTCTATGCTTCAATCCTTTTATTTCATCTTTTGTAGCATTGCTTTCATGCTGCATTTCAGATAACATGGGTTCCTTCATTTTTTTTTTTTCCAGCTATTATGTCAATGATTGTTTTGAAAATATAAGCTTCAATTGGTTGCTACTCACTTGGTTTAGAATTTTCTTTTTCTCTTGCCAAATCTAAATATTTTTCTAGAACTTCTCTCTTTTCCAAAGGATCTTCTAGCCTATCGATTAAGTCTAAAATCAGACTTTCCTCTTTGGTGATAACACATAGATTTAGCTTACAGGCACATTCATCTTCTGACTCCGCGCTGCTAGCATCAGTTGATGATGTAAATAGTTCTTCATCTTGAAGAACCACAACTTCATTTTCGCTTTGTTCAGGATCAAATGAATTTTGTATTAGCTGGCATAATTGTTTTCTCAGGCCTTCATCTAGATTAAGGTTGTTAATCTTTTCTTTCATTCTACATTGAGGTCTCATATGTCCAACTTTTCCACACGTATAGGAAGCAAGAGGTTTTTTATCTAGTCCTTCTCTCCCCCTTTTTTGTTTGTGAGGCTAGAACTTCCACTTGCGAAATGACCTATAAGGTTTAGAGGATCTATTCGAATTATCTTCCGAGTATGTTTTGGAAAATCTTTTTGTTTTCCTAAAAGATTTCTTGGAAGATGATTTTCTTTTAGGTTCAAATCCAAATTATTCACATAAGTCTCTCATTTCTTTTGATCCTAAAGATCTCTGCTTCATATCATTATACAGTGCTAACCCTTCAGCACATATTTCAGATGTGAGCTCCCCATAAGTATACTGATCATAAGGTATTAATCTTCCAAATTTTTCTCTTATTCTATTTCATACATTTTCCGCAAATAAGGAAAGTAATCCAGAAAGAAACCTTTTTTTTTTTTTTTCCATAAGTCAGCATTGCAATCTATTTTAGTAAAGACCTTGGCATAAAAAAAAAAAACTTTTTTATACCACCTCAAATGAGATAGAGTTGGACATTTTAGGTTTATTAGGAGTTTTCTAGAACGATCAAGTTGGAGTTCAGAGGAACCTACGAAATGAAGGGTAATCATATATATTAATGTATTCACTGCATCTTCTATGACTACTCTGTTTTCAATCCTTGTAGCAGCAAAAATTTGTTCCTTGGCTTTTTCGTCGAGATGAAAATCCCATCATCCGCAAAGTTGTCCTATGAATCCTGCTATTATTGCTTATGTAGTTGTTCTGTCAGGAATTCCTTGTAAATTGCTGGTTGATTAGAACATCATCATGTGTCTCATGGTATTTACTATCTGATATTTTGTTTGACCATCAATGTTTCATTCAACAATGGATCTTCCATCATACTGCACCATTTCACCTATATCATTATCTTCAAATTGATGATTTACAGAGGTTGACGTAAGATAATAATTCTTTAGTATAGGCATTCTCGTGACCTTGTGTCCTTGTCTTATCCTATTTGATCTAGGGTTGATTCAGCAAATTGATCTTTCAAATCAACAATTTGGGTTTCATTAATGACTGAAACATTTGGATTCAATAGTTTTATTGAGCCTAATCTTTTTGCTAAGGCATCAATAAAATTATCATTGTTTCCTAGTATGTAATCCTTAAGCTTAGGAGCTAATTTAAACATTGGTGAGTCTACCTTATCCTTTCCCCTTTTATTCTTCTTTTCTTCAGAAGAATTGGAAGATGCTCTTGGTTCTCTAAGGTTCCAAATAACTCTAGATTTGAGAGAATCATTTGGCTTTAATGAATTCTCTATTCTAGACGTTTGTTGACCTAAAGACTGAAGAAACAGGTTTGTATAATTGTTTTGCTATATTACAACCACAACTTCAGTTTTCAAAGAGGCTTCCTATCTCCA